ACCAGGCTGGTCTCAAACTCACAGAGCTCCACCTGCCTCTGCCTCCTGAGTGCTGGGATTAAAGGTGTGTGCCACCAATGCCCAGCTCATGTGTCTCATTCTTTTAAACGTCTCAAATCACTTGCCTTTGTCATCACTTAAGGTTTTTATTCTTACCTTTATATCTTGCATTTACACACCTTAATAACTTGCATTTGTACACCTTAATAATAGAATGCACTCTGAACTGCTGAGGCATCTCTCTACTACTCTTTGTCCTTTTAATGAAATCCCGGCTATGCCTAAAGAAGGCCTTTGCTTCTCACCTCACCTAGCCTAATCTAGATGATTACTCATAGACAGGGCCAGAGGCTTTCTCTTACAAGATTTCAGATACTGTCAAATTGACAGTCAATATTAAACATCATAGGATATTGTCAAATAGTGGTATTGTGAACATTTTTGCTTTTGCTTTTCTGAGACAGTGTCTCATATGATAGCTCGGGCTGGCCTGGAACTATGTAGAACAGGCTGTTTTTAGAACTTGCAGCAATCCTCCTGCCTCAGCTTCTTTTCCATGTATTGGTATTACTGACATGCACCATGACTTTGGGCATTCTGACTATGTTTACACCCAAGTTTTGGGGAACATAATAGAGCTGTTTTTATATCCTTCAATATTTTATATATCTTTCTATTTTCAAGATTACTACTTTGTTTTAATTATCTTATATGTCTTGTTTGTCACATTAAATTATGAGTTCTTTGAGATTAATTTTGTTTATTTTTGGCAGAACAGGAAGCCAATTCCAGGATCTCAGACTTGTGAGAGAAGAACTCTGCCACTGGGATGCACTCCCAACCACATTCAAACATAGTAGGAATTTAGGAAGTATTTGTAAATGAAGGAACATCTAAAATAATCATTTAAAACTTAATCTTTATTCATTTATGCTTCTTAAGCCACATAATTTTAAATTTCATATTTCTTATGGCTATATGCAAAAACAGATGTATTTTAAAATAAAACATTTATAGCAATACATGATCTAGAATATTTCACATTAGGTAATATACTGAAAATATTAAAGACACTAAACAGTATCTCATGAGATCACATTTTCGGTTAGAATAATAGATTCATATAATTAGAAGGCAGTTTGGGAAGATTCAACCTATCACATCCATGCATATATAACAGCAGAATTTAGCAATTTAAACCAATATAAAAACATATATTACTTTTTTGTTGTTGTTTTGTTTTTTGAGGGTTTTTCTGTGTAGTTTTGGAGCCTATCCTGGCACTGGCTCTGTAGACCAGGCTGGTCTTGAACTCACAGAGATCCGCCTGTCTCTGCCTCCTGAGTGCTAGGATTAAAGGCGTGCATCACCACAGCCCGGCAAAAGAGATGTAAATATTGTTAATAATCTTTTTTATGTGTACTAATATTTTGGCTGCATGTCTGTGTATCACTGTGTGCCTGGTACCTAAGAAAGCCTGAAGAAGGTATCAGATTTCATGGAACTGGAGTTACAGACATTATAAATTACCCTGTGGATGTCCGGAATTGAACCTGGGTCCTCTGGAAGAACCGTCAGTGCTCTTAACCACTGAGCTATCTCTCTAGCCCCTTGGATCATTACTTTGTGGTAAACAAAAAAAAAAATACTTTCTTCCAGTTTTTTGAAATATACTATACACGATTATCTATAATTACTCCACTGTATACTATCACATGAGAGCTTCTTACTCTTATCTACATATAACTTAGTACCATGAGTCAAACTTCTAGCTACTTTCTGTCCCACCAGTAATTATTATACTTTCAACTTCTCTTAGTAAGTACTAGGCGTCTGTGTTAGTATGGGTTACAGTGAAACACCTTGATCAAACAACCTGGGAGGAAAAGGGTTAATTTGGTTTAAACTTCCACAGCACTGCTCATCTTTGAAGGAAGTCAGGGCAGGACCTGGAAGCAGGAGCTGATGCAGAGGCCATGGAGGGGTTGCTTACTGGCTTGCTCATACATGGCTTGCTCAGCTTGCTTTTTTACAGAACCTAGAAGCACCAGCCCAGGGATGGCACCACCCACAATGGGCTCATCAATCACTTATTAAGAAAATGCTCTACAGGCTTGCCAACAGCCTGATATCAAGGAGGCATTTTCTCAATTGGGATCCCCCTTCTCTTAGATGACTCTAGCTTGTGTCAGTCAAGCAGATGTAAAATTAGCCAGCACAGCAGCCCCAACCTTTTTTTAGCTTCTGAGATTGGACCAGATCTGGTCCCTTTAGGGTGGTATGTCCAAACACTACAATCTCTGAGATCAATGTTTTTTATATTTCACAATTAGATCATGCAATACTTGTTTTCATATGTTTGATTTATTTCATTTAGCATAATTACCAGTTCCATCCATACAGTCAGGAATAACAGGATTTGTGACCACTGAAGTGCTTAGTGGGTAAGAATATTTGCTGCCAAGCCTGACCACCTGAATCCAATCCCCAGAACTCCCATGTCAGAAAGAGAGAACTAATTCTGCAAGTTGTCCTGACTTGCACTTTTGTGTTACACATGACCCATCCTCCATACACACAACTAAATGAAACAAAAACAAAGATTGGAAGGATTTCATTTTCTTAAGGCTCATCAGTTTTCTATGTATGTATACTACATTTTAAAAGTCCACTTATTGGTAGACACTTAGCTTGCTTCTACTTCTTGGGGGAAAAGGTATACAATTCTATAACTGGAAATCCATACAGCCATACAATAAAATTCAGTGGAAACACTAGCAAAACATGCAATCGATATTACCTAAAGATCAACAGAACCAGCAGGGTAGCTTGTTACAGAAGTCTAATTAATAGGTGTCAAAATGAATTATTAAAAATAAACATCCAAAGGCCGGGCGTTGGAGGCGCACGCCTTTAATCCCAGCACTCGGGAGGCAGAGGCAGGTGGATCTCTGTGAGTTCCAGACCAGCCTGGTCTACAAGAGTTAGTTCCAGGACAGCCTCCAAAGCCACAGAGAAACCGTCTCGAAAAACCAAACGAAACCAAAGGAAACCAAACCAAACAAAAAACATCCAAGCTGGGCGTTGGTGGCGCACGCCTTTAATCGCAGCACTCGGGAGGCAGAGGCAGGAGGATCTCTGTGAGTTCCAGACCAGCCTGGTCTACAAGAGTTAGTTCCAGGACAGTCTCCAAAGCCACAGAGAAACCCTGTCTCGAAAAACCAAAAACCAAACCAAACCAAACAAAAAACCATCCAAACCCTTGTTATGAATATGCATAACTGAGTAGACTAGGACAGAGAAGGACCTCAGTTCAAGAAAAGAGCAGGTGAGGAAAACGAATTAAACACGCAAAGCCTTTTCATCTTGAGAAAGTTAAAGAAAACTTCCTTTCGTACAGTTAAAAGCCTAATTTATAGCAGGTTTTATGATTTGATTGACACTTAGCTTGCTAACTCACTAAATTTTAGGACCTTGGGCAAGTCAACTAACATTTCCTCATTTATAAACACCCTACAGTGCTTTTTGGAATACATCGTATGCTTGCCAAGTATCACATATATGTAGGCGGTGAAGCACTTGCAAGCGATTCTCTCTCGATGCCTGCGCTTACTCTTCGCCATTGCGTTTTGTCTTTTGATTAATCAGTGAGTCCTGTTTTTTTTTTTCTGGGGTACTTAACACCGGGTCACCTCTGAGTAGGGGGCACATGAGCTCTGAGGGAATTCTTCAGGCGACACTGCCCGCAATACCAAGGTGAACCTGCTGTCGGGGAATAAACATGCCTGTCAGAGAATCTACTGAGATTCCTTTTCGCAGGGAGCGCAGGATGCACTTCGGAGACCGTCTCCGAACCGCAACCCGGATAAAAGGAACTTCCGCCATACGCAGGGAGTGCGGGCTACCCCGAGAAACCGAACCGGAACAGGAGGGAATGACGCCAGCCCACTGAGGAAGGTGTCCGGAAGCGCCAGGGGACTACAGTTCCCATAAGCCCGCGGGGCAAGGTGAGGGGCAGGCGTCGAGACATAACCGGACAGGCCTTGCCCGTCATTTGGCTATTTCAAGGTAAATGCCGATACCGCGGCTCCGAGGGAAGAGTTGACTTATGGTTCGCAATTAGCTTGTACGAGTAACCCTCCAAACCCATCCTAAACCGACAAAAATGACGCGCGTCCTTGAGATTTCCGGGCCGCAGGACCCCACGTCCCCGCGAGCTTTCCCAGTGCCGACCACGCGGGGACTGCTCGGCAGCTCCGCACGCGCGTTTCTCCACCGGTACCCTCGGGCCGGCCAGGAGGTGCGAGTGAAGCGCGGGGAGCATCGGACTCGAGTAGAGGGCGACCGCCGCTCGTCTTTGCTCGCTCCCCCGCCGCCCTTGGCGGAGGCGGTGAAAGCTGTCGCAGTCTTGTGAACCAAGGCTAAGCACTTCCATCCTTGTCCTTAATCCCCCTGTGTACCCCTTAGCGTGGTTAAATCCGCAGGAGAGGCCAAGCGACTTGCCCTGGGTCACAGATTAAGGGGCAAAAAGGAAGTTTTGAAGCTAACTTTTATGACTCAGTGCTGTCCACAGAGTTTAACCCGAGAGACGTCAGGCTTGAGGACCGCGGACTCTTTCTTTTAACACTAGCGGTAACCAGGGGCACCTTTGGGACCCGGTGTAGAATCCTAGCGCGTCACCAGCCTGGGTCCCCGCAGCCGGAACATA